TTCTGAGATTGTTGCTGTATTTGTCATAGTGATATTTTGAGGACTGCCTGGCTCCTCTCTTATTGTTTGGATAAGCCATTTAACCTCTTTGTAATTCAGTTTTCTCATCTACAAAATGAAGGCAGTGATTGTAGGGGGGCGGGGGCAGTGAGGGATCACCAAATGACCAGGCCCTGGGCCCCAGCCAGGGCGCAGCGGCAGGAGGGAACTCTGGGCCCCAGTTGGGGCTCAGTGGAACTATGAGTCTCCCGCAATTGGGGGCATGGCCAACCTTCAAACCTGGGGTTCAGAGCTCCCTGAACCATGCTACTACCCATCTGGGGCTCACAGTTCCCTTCTGCCACTGGGCCCTGGCTAGGGGGAGGCCAGTTAGGGGTTACCAGGCTTGCGGGGAAGGAACAGTTAGGGGCGACCAGGCAGACAGGGGGGGTGGGCAGTTGGGGGTGACCAGGCTGAAAGAAGGGACAGTAAGGGATGACCAGACTGGCGTGGAAGGGGGGCATTGAGGGGTGACTAGGCCAGCAGGGGGGCAGAAAGAGGCGATCAGGCTGGCAGGGGGGGTCAGTGAGGGGCTCTCAGGCCAGCAGGGGGAGCAGTGAGGGGCGATCAGGTCAGCAGGCAGGTCAGCTGTTAGGAGCCAGCAGTCCAGGATTGTGAAAGGGATCCTGGATTGGTGCAGGCTGGGCTGAGAGGACCCTCCCGCTGTGCACAAATATTGTGCACTGGGCCTCTAGTTTTATTATAATACTGTCAGTTTTCTTTCTGAATATTATAGTCAGAATATTCAGATTCTAATGGAAAACTAATTCTAATCTGATTATAGTCATTAAGCACATAACTACTTTTTGCAGTTATTTTATCAAACTAATGACTTATATCCAGCTTTCTAAGAGAATCTCAAAAAAAGGATTAGTGTTTACCATTCAAAGGTACTAAAATCCTTAAGATATATAATTGTGTTAGGTTTCAAACCTATATTCTCTGATATATATCATTCAGTTATGATTCTTCTTATTTTAATGGGATATTTCTGTTTTCAGAAGGGTTTCTTTATTGCAAATAAAATAATTCAAAATGACAGAATCATAAGAGATATGATATATGGGTATTTTCCCAGGATCTAAATGAAGATGAGTTGTTGAAGGATAGACAATAGTAGCTCTAAAGGAACTAGATTTCATATCATGTAATGTTAAATTTTTAAGGAATTACAGAAAGAGAAAATGGTTTGAGCTCTATGATATCATTAGTGCTTTTTAAATTCTCTTAAGTTCAGAGATTTCAGGGATAAGAAAATATATGCAAAGATGAAGACATTTATCTTAATTTTTATTGGTGTACTTTTGAAATGCTCATATGGAATAAACACACATTCTTTTTTTAATTTTGTCTTTCCATTTGCTTTAAGGATGTATATTATATATAGGTGGGAAGAATAAGGAAATCATATATTTGTAACAGTCCCATGATATAGTACATGTTAAAATAAAGATGTATTATGGCAATAAAACCCAAATATTCTATAGATGTAAAAATGCTGTTATTCTATTTAAAGATTAACTTATTATTGAAATTAATTCATATCACTGACCCATTTTAAACAATGCTGAAAAAGTTATGTTAATTAATTTTGATTAGATTCAGTTTTCTGTGAAAGTTCACTTTTATTTTCTTTGCACTTTCACACAATTGAAAATAACTTTCACATCATTGAAAATAATTTCTGATTATAAATAATATTGCAGAAATGGGCCAATTTTTTTTTTTTAAGAAAAAGCTAGAATTTCATCTTCTTTCCCAGTATAGGATCTTAATGGTGAAAACCATCACTGTCTAAAGGGAATGCTTTTTTTTTCTCTTTAGGAGGGTTTTTGTTTTGATTAGGAAATATATTAGAAACAGAGAATAGCTCTTTTAAACATGATAATATGCAGAGAGTTTAAGTGATAAAACTGAACTGTTAAAAATGCCAAGTATTTTCCATTTTCTTTATATCCCTCTGAAGATTGAAAAAAGGGAGAATATTTCAGGTCTGTAGTTGTGGTTGGTATTAACATGATTGAACTCTGTTATCTGTTACTACTAGTTGTATAGCAACAAATTATCCCTTCATTTACTTCATTAAATATCATCATTAAATATAAAGTACGCTTCAACTGATAAGTTGGAAAAAAGGAGCCATATTTATTGTCTTTCTCATCATTGTTATTAGTAGATATGTCCTTACTTGAATGGGGCAAGTATTGCAGACATAATGTGAATTATCAAGATAGGCAAGTGCTTCTGGAATCATAACCATGAAGTAGTGTTTATTCATGTTGTTCACAGAATACTGATTCAGGATATGTTGATGTGAGAGTGAGGAATTTTCTATTTTGAATTTTTGTTTATTACCAACTGTTAGCCTTAGCTCCTTAGGAGCCTGTCCTCTTATGCCTGAGTCACATTCCTCATTTTCATTCCTCGGCCTAGTCAAAAGACTCAAGAGCTGAGTTTGGGTCAGGATCATCATCTATTTTCAGCTTGAAGCTGGGATTTTCAGAATTAACACTTATCCATTTCTTTTAAAATATGGTCAGTAAGATGCCTTTTTAAAAAAAAATATTTTTATTGATTTCAGAAAGGAAGAGAGAGAGAGAGGGAGAGAGAGGGAGAGGGAGAGGGAACATCAATGATGAGAGAGAATCATTGATTGCCAACCTCACACCTCCTGTTGAGGATTGAGCCTGCAACCTGGGCATGTGCCCTGACTGGGAAGGGAAACATGACTTCTGGTACATAAGTTGATGCTCATTGAGCCACAGCAGCTGTGCAGTGGGATACCTTCTTCATGTTACTTCCTCTCTGAATACTTAAAGGAAACAAAGCCCACTCTACTTCTTTGCCTTCATTTTTTTCAACTTTTCATTTATACCATTTTGTGTAACCTCATGCAATCTTATAATTTCTATTAAAATGAAAGGGTATAAATACATAGGATGAGACAAAGTTTGACATTAACTTAATGTCTCTTTTGTGTTTGCCACCTGTGAAGCATATCAGATATCACCTTTGTAATGTTTAATATGTGGTAGACCCTACTGTGGACCTATTAAACTCAAATCTTTTGGGTAATGAGGCCTAAACTTATATATTTTTCAAAACTTCCTTCAGCTCTTTCTGACATGTATCTTTGATTTAGAACCACTGTGCTAACACATGTTTTCTGTTTGTTTTACTTTTTTAGGACAGTATGTAATGCAACTCTATATTAAACATTTTTCTGGAATAAGTATTACCAGGAGTTGTTTTTTTTAATTTTTATTTTTGAATATATTTTTATTGATTTTAGAGAGGAAGGGAGAGGGAAAGAGAGCTAGAAACATCAATGATGAAAGAGAATCATTGATTGGCTGCCTCTGGCGCACCCACACTAGAGACTGAGCCTGAAACTTGGGCATGTACCCTCACTGGGAATTGAACGTGTGACCTTTTGATTCATAGGTCGATGTTCAACCACTGACCCATGCTGGTTGGGCAAGCATTTTTTGTTTGTTTATTTATTTACCTGTTTTTATATTAATTAAAAAAATTTTTACATATGTACTTGTGTATATATATGTATGTATTTATATGTATACTTAAATATACATACATACTTGACTTTTTTCATCATTTGATTATGAAAATGATCTACAAACATTTACTTTGATCTATCCTATTTTTCTTGCTGAAGGATCCATTTCCTGGTGTGTAGCACAGCTATGAGTGGGAATGATCTCATTCTCACCATTAACCATCTTAGTAAACATTGATGATGGTAATAAATTTAGTCTTGGCTGTTGTAACTGTCATTGGCAGCTTAGAATGGCATGCTTATATAGTTTGCATAGAATTTAAAGTCATAATTGAGGAATCAAATAAATTAATGAGTTAAGACAAATTTTGGTTGCCAGAGCCAACCAAATTTTGGTTGCCAAAGCCCTTTGGGGATTGGGGGCTTGCTGAATTTGAACGTTATTGTTTCTCAAGTGTCTTTATGATTTAATACAAGGCTATTCATACTTCCTAAGTCAGCACTTTTTTGATAGTGAAAACATTGGTTTTGATACTGATTTGTTGCTGTTGCTATTATAAGCAAATTCGTTAGTTTTCTACCTGCTTAAAACTTGAAGTGTGTATTATAGAATTTACAAAGACTGAATTTTTGGTTAAAATATTGCCTTTTGTTTGATATAAGTGGACAAAATTTATATGAAGCAGATAACAGAAAACAAACTATTGTCTTCAACATTAACACATTTAAGAAAAATTATTCATATTATATGGCACCAAAAATTTTTAATAGTAGTGAGACTTTTATATGCAACTACTATTAATAGTTGGCTTAAATCTGTTACACTATTTTCATGCTAGCACATTGTGTGAATTTAAAAATTGCTTGTAAGTACAGTGCTATTATTTGTCAATTCCTGTACCTCATCTGACGACTGTTCTCAGCAGTTTCCTTCATTTTCAAGCCCTTTAAATATAATGAGTCACTTTGATGCTTCCTAGCATGGCTTTTCAGAATTCATCAAGAAAAGGCATGTTATTGATAAGCATCTCCACCCATTGAGTTCTCGTAGTCTTAAAAAGGAATCCATACATTTTCATCCCTACCGGAATAAAGCTGATTGAGTTAATTCCATTAAAATCAGGTGGAAACAACTGCCATCATCTATGTAGATATTAAATGAACATTATAAAAGGGGAGAAATGCTAAATTAAAAGGAAAAAAAATCACCCCCACTCTTACTATGTTATGTAGATGAGTAATAGGGGGGAAAAAGCTCTCAAATGGCCAAGAAAAGCTTCTGAGTCTCATTTTCTTTGATGGGTTTGGAGATGAGTTCCCAGTTGTTGCATGTAATGTTCAGAGAGAAGTAACTATAAAGCTAAATACGCTGCCAACCATGTCTTAAAAATTAATTCCGTCTTTTTTTCTTCTTTTTTTGTGTGGGTGGTGGGTTTGGTTTTAGGATATGACAGCTCGTGATCTGCTACAGCAGAGATACACTCTTCCCAACGGAGACACTGCCTGGCGGTCCTCGCCCCTTGTGAATGCTGCTCTGGAGGGAAAGCTGGTCCTGTTGGATGGCATTCATCGGGTCAACGCAGGCACACTCGCCGTGTTGCAAAGGTTTGCATGCATCAGACACAAAAGAATACTCCAAGGAAACAGTAGAAATGGAACTCCCTCAATCTTCTCGTTTAAAATTGGGCTACGTAGATCCTTAAAAACTTAAAATTCTATATCCAAGTAGAACAGACTTTTTTAAAAAGTCTGTGTTTTAAAAAAAATTTAAGTAGTGATTTGAATGACTTTTTTATATGCTTATTAGTATATGCAGCAGTCGCACAGCTCCAGTTTCTACAGTTTGTCCAAGTTACCTGTCCACTGTTTCCAACTCCTTGTGAATCATAGATTTACATTACTGGTTGATCTTGGATTTTTTTTTTTTTTTTTTGAGAGAAAACATAGTTCCTTCTATAAAATTTCGATAGCTGTTTTATTATAATATTAATCTTAAAAGCTCACTTTTGTGTTTATAAACTGGAACATTTAACAGTTGTTTTCTTACTGTATTTTAGGTGAGAAAAATATCCACACATTCCTAATTAACTGCTCTTGAATTTAATATTAAGAATAAATTTCTTATGTGATTTTTATGGAAAATATTCCCAATCTGAGTCAGTGAAGATACTAATTTTTGTAATTGTTCAAGCTTTGATTCTATCACTTGTAGACATTTGGTTTCTAACTTTGACTTATCAGGAAAGTTCAAATAAGTGGAATGATTCCCTGACTATTCAAAGTCTTCTTCCCTTGAAAACATGTAGGTACCGAGCATAATTAAAAATCCCAAAAAGATTGTGTTAAAAATCCTGATTAGATTTGAGGGCATTTAAAAATACTTTCAGTGATTTATCATAAACAATCAATAGATTTATAATTTTTCTCTTCTAAACAAAGTAATACAGACACAAACAACATAACACTCCCCCCTTTTATTAGCTATCTCTTGCCCATTAGGCCAAGTAGCCGTAGTAGCAGCAGCTACCATTAATTGAGTTCTTACTCTATACTGGGCATTGTGCTAAGGCAGTGAAATTCTCAACTTTGGAATCACCTTGTGGGCATGAAGCTTAAAAATGCTTGATGCCTGGGCACTAGCCAACTTGAAATTTCAAAAGGTGCACCTAACTCTTCTCAGGAGATTCTAATGTGCAGCCAAGGTTGAGACCAACTGTAGTAAGCACATGCCTTCCATCAACTGTTTATATGGTTGGTGTTAATAATCCAAATTGTAGAAAAGATAAAAGTTGAAAGAAGTGGGATAACTCCCCCTACCCCTTCCCTAGTCATTCTTCTAATAATGTACAGAGGTGGGTTGGACCCAAGTCCAACTGACTCCACTGCCCAGGCTTCTAACCTTCGCATTATGCAGTCTCCCTTCCCCTCAGTGCTTATAAGTGGACGTTGTGTAAGACAACTGCAATGTGGGCATCAGGAGACTTGGTGGCTGGAGTAAGATCTCGAACAGTACTTTACAACCTCTGCAACATCTGGAAGACAATGCTGCCGTATTGTGGATGGTTAGGTCAGCATCATAGTGGATACATGAAATAGTTATTATCCATTTTGGGTTTTTTTAATCTTTTAAATCCTATAAGTCCAAAAATGGAAATATTTTATTAATTAAAAAGTTACATTGGACTCAAGGGAGCACATGCCAACTGCCTTATACATTAATTTGCACCTGGTGGTTATCCTGAGTCACTCATTCAGCTGTTTTATTTTTTTATCCCCCTTCTCCTCCACCTTTTCAGCTCCTCCTCATCCTCGGCTTCCTCCTCCCTGTCTATATCTAGTATCCAGGACTGCTTCCCTTTAGTACAGAAACCAATATTTTTGCCAACTATAACAGTAGCCAACTTGAAATTTTATTACTGGCAATTGTTATTTTATTACTGGCAAATGTTAATAATGTTATCCATTATTATTGGCAATTGTTAGATTCAATTGCCAGTAATAATGGATATTATTAAAATATTAACTGACCGATTTCTACTTCTAATAACTTCACTGTTCAAAACTGATTACTTTGTTTTCTGACTTTCCTTTGTCCCATTAGGTTGATCCATGATCGAGAGCTAAGCCTCTATGACGGCTCTAGGTTGCTGAGAGAAGACAGGTATATGCGTTTAAAAGAGGAGCTGCAGATGTCTGATGAGCAGCTACAGAAGAGGTAATTTTGTATACACCCAGAATGAGTTCCATACTCTTAGCCTAATTTACCTAAGTGTTCAAACATTTCATAAGGACATTAGTTTTAAGAAGGTAGTTCTTCTTTGCCCTAGCCCAGTGGTCGGCAAACTCATTAGTCAACAGGGCCAAATATCAACAGTGCAATGATTGAAATTTCTTTTGAGAGCCAAATTTTTTAAACTTAAACTTCTTCTAATGCCACTTCTTCAAAATAGACTTGCCCAGGCCGTGATATTTTGTGGAAGAGCCACACTCATGGGGCCAAAGAGCTGCATGTGACTCTAGAGCTGCAGTTTGTCAGCCACAGCCCTAGCCAATCAGTTTTTGCACCATACTTGTTTCTTTTCAACAACAACAAAAAAAGTTTCATCAGCTCAGCCCACTCCTAAGAAGTCATTGGTTCCTGGTTCAGGATTATCCTTTGTGGCTTCTTTAAGCATTTTCCAGAGATATAACCACAAAATGTTATATATGAGACTTGATACGATCCTGGATCAGGACATAAAATGAAAACAGCTATAAAAGACACTGTGGGGACACTGAATTAATATTAGTTTTCTTAAGAATCATAATGGTGCCGAAACTGGTTTGGCTCAGTGGTAGAGCGTCGGTCTGCTGACTGAAAGGTCCCGGGTTCGATTCTGGTCAGGGGAATATACATTGGTTGTGGGCACATCCCCGGTAGGGGGTGTGCAAGAGGCAGCTGGTCATTGTTTTTCATCGATATTTCTAACTCTATCTCCCTCTCCCTTCCTCTCTGTAAAAAAAATCAATAAAATCAATCAATCAATCAATCAATAAATAAATAAAACTCCATCCATTTTAAAGGATCATAATGGTATTGTGGTTATGAAGGATAATATTTCTATTCTTAGGGACACAAGCTGAGATAAGTAGAAAGATGTTTATAACTTACTTCCAAATGTTTTAGGGGGGAAAAGACATACAAACATATATGTACTACACGAAGAGATGGAGAGAGATCAAGAGAGGGAGAAAACATGTAAAATCTTAACAACTGGTGAAATCTTGGTGAAGGATATATGGGTGTTCATATTCTACTCTTTCAAATTTTCTGTGGGTTTGAAAAATTTCAAAATAAAAGGAATGAAGGAAAATATTTTTTTCTGCTGCGTACTATACTTTTCCTTAGAGGAAGTTTGGCAAATATAAGTTATTTTCTGTCTCATTACATTTCCATGTTATTTTGACATATTTAGAGATTGTTACTTTGGATAATTCTTAGTCACTTAGTCAGATCTTATTTGATTAAAGCTTAACTTGATCCAAAAGGTTTGCTGCCATATTTAAAACATTAAAATTCTACAAATGTTAATTAAGTATTTATGTTTTAAGGAGAGTTTTGTTTGAAGATTGCCTTGGAATTTTTTCATTGAGAAGAAATGTTAAATGTTTTACTATCTCTGTATAAAATATTTAAAAATGCACTTGATTGTACAACTGTTTATTCTCCTGAGGTACACATCATCAAATTTGTCCACCCAATAAGTGGTTTGATTGAGTGTTAGGGAGGCAAAGGATGAAGATCCCATTCATTTCACACCTTCAGTTTATGACATTCAGCTTTTGCATATGACTCATTTGTCAGAAGTTTTCATTTTTCAGGGAGATGAATCAAAGCAGTTGGGCAATAGCTCTCAGCAAGCCTGCCAGTCAGTTTCCCTTAGGACCTCAGGAGCATCAAGCTTGTAGCTAAACATGCAGGAAGTGATAACCCTTTTCTATGAAAAGTACCCAATTTCCCCCTAATGGTCACAGGCAGTTTCACAAATGAAAACACTTTCAGAAAAAGAGTAACACTGAGCATCATCCTCAGGGTTTGGCTCAGTGTGGTTAGTAGTACTCCTTGAGTGTCCCATCTTCATCATTGTTTATTTATAACTCTCCCTTGAGTATAAACCAAACTCAATTCTGTCTCCAGAGATCTGGGTAGGTGGATACAGGTCATAGCACAGCTTGGTTTCCTTCACTTAAATTTATTTGCATTTTTTATTAGTGTTAAACATTCATGAAAACTTGAGCCAAATGGTTTCTTAAGGCTTTTAATTTAAAATATCAGCCCTGTCATCTGTTCTAGGACACTCCCTTTTGCCATTCTCCAAAAGCTACCACTTTCAACTCGTAACTGTTTCTTTGGTATTTACCTCCATATCACTAAACAATATACTTTCAGTGATATTTCTTGATATATTTTTTTCAGTATTTGGCACTAACTAGTGATTTCCTACAATGGAAAATTAAGACTTAGCATCCTTTCAACTATTCTTCTTCCCATCACACATACTTCCTATTCCCCATTCCTCTCCTACATAGTTATATAGTAACTAGGGGCCCAGTGCATGAATTGAAAGGAACTGTGGGCCACAAAACAGCAGTGGGCACAGGGGCGGGTCTCAGCCCATCCTCCATACCCCTGCCCAGCCCCTCCCACTGTGGCCACCAGTCCCCTGTCTGCCAGCAGAACCTGTTCCTCAGTTCCCACGTGCTGTTGGCACCTGCCCCACTTGCACCCGTTGACAGCATGGAGTGACTGGGGCTGGTGCCAGCAGTGAGTGTGAACAGGACTAGTGCTGTCAGCAGGTTCAAGTGGCAGCTGCTGCCCTGATTGCCCCTCAGGAGCAGGGGGAGGTGGAGAAGTCTTCAGGGGTGATCAGGGCTGGCAGCTACAGCTTGCACTTGATGATGGTGTTGAGTAATAGGAACCAGTTTCGGGTGCCAGCAGCAGGTGTGAGCGGTGGCTCTAGTGCCTGCTGAGGTACAAGTGGCGGCTCCAGTGCCAGCAGCAGGTGCGAGCACATGGGAGCAAAGAATTTTTAGTAACCACCAGAGGCTCATGACAGTGATCAGCGCCTTGCCTTGGTCTGGTGCCCCGCTAACCTGTTTCATCATTCAGCTGTGACCAACACCTGCCATATTCCATGCTCTGCCACCTGCTGCCGATGCCTGCCATATTCCACACATGCCTTCTGGTGGTCAGAACACATCATAGCGACCGATTGTTCAGTTTTTCTGCCGTTCAGTCTATTTGCATATTAGCCTTTTATTATATAGGATTTTGTTTGGAACTTTATAGAGTGTTTGCATTATTACCACAGCATAAGAACTATACACAGCTGAGCCATTCAGTAAACTACAGTTGTTTATCCTTTCTTGCGTACATTTATTTTTCTAAAGTTCACTTGCCTACATATGAAAAGTGGCAGATATATAAATAACTAATTACAATGCAGCTTTTAAATGTTAGACTAGAGATCTGTGTAGTAATGCTGTGGGAACATAGGGGAGGAAGTGGCCTTGTTTTCTATGTACTTATCACTTTTTCATCCAAACATTTCCCTATTGTCTCAGTCTCCTCTCAGCACATTTACATTATCAGTGTACCTGCTGTTGATTTTATTTTCCTTCCATAGTATATTCTGACTAGGAATAATTGGGACTTGTTCTTCATGCTTGTAGCTCATATGTCATTCTACCTCTTTCTCCACCCCTATTTCCCCTTTCCTCTGGTCTCTTTTTCTGCAACTTTCATTAGTTAAATGTTGAACATCCTGGGCTGGACTTCTAATTTTATTTTCTTTCTTACATTCTGAATTTGTCAGGACTTCATTGACGTTTCAGAGGTGAGATATCTAATAACTGATACTCCTCTCTGTCAGAAATATATCTACCATTTGAAAGCCTAATTCCTTTTTTTTTTTTTTTTTATCAAAATCTGCTTCACCTGGTGATATGGATTGTTGGGTGAATTTCTTTACATTTTCTTGGTTAACCTTAATTAAATTTTGTAGCCCAGTTTTGTCTTTCTGAGAATATGTTCTTCTATAGGGTTATATTATTATAGGTTGGATTTTTTTCCTTTAAGTCAATTGACAGTATTTCTTTCAAGGCTGTGTTTATTGGATAGAGAGCTGATCCCTTAACTAAAAGGATATAGCACAGTCTAAAAAGCAGGAAATTTGTGCTCATGAAATAAATTTATTTTATTTATTGTTTTTGTAAGTAATATGACCCGTTATCTAGTTTGGGTTGATCTTATATGCTATCTATATCTAAGACCTTACTCTTGACATTAGCATTAGACCTGCAGATTAGAAACTCATAGCCTAAGTCATCTGTCCTTTTCATTTCTGTACCTAATAGTGAACTGAAGTTCAGAAAAATGATCCTGTATAATAAAAGGCCAACATGCAAATCAACCAAATGGTGAAATGACCAATCGTTATGATGTGCATTGACCACCAGAAGGCAGATGCTCAATGCAGGAGTTGTGCCCTGGTGGTCAGTGCACTTTCACAAAGGGAGCTCTGCTCAGCCAAAAGTGGGAGTGGGCCTAAGCTGGCAGTCATACATCCCCCCATGCATGAATTTTGTGCACCAGGGCTGTAGTTATTTATGTTAGTCTTTAAACAAACTCAGCTATCAATGTTTGGGGATTTTGAAATAGAAAAAAAGGTCAAAGTTATAATGAGGGGAAAGCAAATTTAAGAGATTTGCCTTTAGACTCAAATAGGTAAATTTAGAAGCCTTTCCAAGTCTGAAAGTTAGAGAAGAGAGTACTCTACTTCTTAGGATCTGCCAACTAATTTCAGATAGGAATAATTTTTATATTTGTGTTTGGCAGGACTCTGAGTAATAAAAAAATACTTTGTCTTATAAAGGAACTTAATGGCATCTCACATTTTCAAAGGAAGGTCAAGAATGCAGTTGTGCCTCAGGAAATAACTGGAACCTAGGACTCTAATCTTGTCAGGATTCTCTGTCTTGCTCCATACTTTATCTTTTTCTAATGTCACAACACCTGGCACATAGTAGATTACTTAATAAGTGTTTTTGAATGAGTAACTAAATTTTAACCTAGGATAAATTCTAGGAAAGTCAAGGTAAAGCTGATTCTATTAATCTAGTTTAGATGACCTTCTAAGCTGGCAATGTTTTTTTTTTTTTAAATGAATCTTTTAATTAGGAACACTTTGCCTTTTAATGACAAGTCTGATGCCATAGGGTCTCATAATTAGCAACACCAAGCCTTTCAACTTCATAGCTGAAACCTTACATTTGACTCCTTTGCTGGACTTCATTGTATATCATGTGAGTGATATTGTTTGTTTTAATCAATTCAACTCAAAACCCTAGTGGCAATATTACCTTTAGAGGGTAATATCACCCCATGCTAAGAGAAGGGAGAGATGAAAATCACACACTTGCCAAGATATTCAGAAGAAAACAAAATGCAGGTACATAACTAGCATTTCTCCAGAAATGGACTGTTAGATGCCATTAACTATTATAATGGAGCCAAATAGTTAAGTGATTAGGCTGCTAGCATATCAGGAAGTAGGATATGTGTGTGGAGATAAAGGAAAAGTTCTTCCAAAACAACAGGGATGTCCAAGCCTCTGACCACATAATCTGTAATTGAGAGGCCACACCATAATTTGTAATCCAAGTAAAAGCAGTTTTTAGAAATGCTCATGTGAAATGTCTGGATGAATTCATAAAAACTATCAGACATAGTTTCTTTTCTCTAGGTAGGGAAAAAAGACTTATCTACAAATATTCAAGCAGAGCATAGCATAATTTGCCCAAAGGAGTTGTTCTGGGAAAAGAGGGAATGATTATGACATATAGATAGTACGTGAAAGTCTTGATGATAAAGTGATCACTCAGAATTTTTAGTAATTAATAAAGTAGTCACGTAACAGAATCTGGACACAGAAAATTCTGTGATTTGAAAGCTAAAAGGGAAAGTTATCTATTTTCACTTCCGTTAAGTGGTTTGTTATAATCCAGAAATCTCTGCTTTGTGGCCCAGCAACAGATGTTGGATTCATCCTTGATCCTCTTCTCTCTAGTTAGAAGAGCAATTAACATAAAAGCAAGTTAGGTGGTTAGAATTTAAATAACATGATGGTCATTGCTCTGGACTAATATATACTATAGTATATATTGCCTGTGGCTTGCTTTTTTGATACTGACTTTAGCAGGGTACCTGCCCCAATTTAAAGTTTCTGAGATAGAAGGTAGGTTAGGCAGAGAAGTGTATGCTGCCTACAGAAATGTTATCAAGCTATTGAATAACAGGATGAGAAGGACTTTTTTGTTTGCTAGATTCTCCCCAAAGGCTTTCTTATATATAAATAGGTCATATGGAAAGTTTTTTCCTGATGATATTAGGTTCTCCAAGTCTGAAAGTTAGAGAAAAGAGTACTTCTGAGGATCTGCCAACTAATTTCAGGTGGTTTGACATACTGGTGGGTAATACAAAAGCTGAAGAGATGCATAATTGGGAATTAAGACACAGCACTATTAAAATTTAAACTCAAGGGTAACTTTAATTTTATCAGAATTAAACAACAAGTAACAAATGAAACTAAAGATATGGCTTAACTTTAGATAAATACATATTATTCCCTAAATATTAAAAAATTTTAAAGCAAATAATCTTACAAAAAGATTTTTAAAATACAAATATTGGGAGTCAATATGTTTGCTTGGAGGGTGAGTATAAATTTTTAGAGAGTACTTTTCAATGCTTCTCAGCAATAAAAAGGAGTGAATTATTGATATACATAACAATGTAGAAGATAATTATGCTGAGTGAAAGAAGCCAGACCAAAAAGAGTACATACTGTGTGATGCCACTTATATAAAACCCTAGAAAATACAAGCTATAAAAATAGTTTCCTAAGGGTGTGAGAAAGGGCAGGAGTGAGGGATTACAAAGGAGTCAGAGGATACTTTGGGGGTCATAAATGTATGAGTGTAATAATGGTTTTATTACACTCAAATATATAAATATCAAAAATTATCAAACTATGCACTTTAAATATGCAGTTTATTATATGTCAGTTATACTTCAACAAAGCTATAATAAAACAAAAAAGAGGTTATAATACATGTCAGTCTTTTGAAGGAAATATTGTATTTTTTGTCAGTTTGTATTTAAAGGAACTTGAAAGAATTATATAGGTTTCTGCAAAGACTATAATCATGAACCAGAAGAGGGTTTTGTAACTGGCCTCGCATACCGGAATGCTAATGCTCCACTTCAGGACCTGGAGGTTCTGCAGTTCAGTACACAGCCCACGTTTCCCCTTTTTTTCTGTGCAATGTAGCAAACTCCATAGATACATTCCTCACTCATCTCTATACCACCCAAGGTCTAGTGTAATTCCTGAAGAGAGCAGATGCAAATTAAATAAATAAATGCATTGCTATAGTTCATCACCATCACTGCAAGAAACTTTTTAAAGACCTTTGGTGGAAACCACAGAAAAAGTAAGTGACAAAAACTGAAAATAATGTGTTCATCCCCAAATGCAGAGCAACTAGTCTAAATCTGGTCTTGAATGAATTTGTGAAACAAGGTAGATTCTCTGAATAAAAGAGATGAAACCAGTACGTATAATAAGCAATTAGACCCTTTAGAGTCACAGAATTTAAAATTATTCCTTGACCATAAAAGTGTTTAGGATTATTTTTCCAACTCAGAATCGAGTTAAGGCTTTTTCTTTTGATAATCAAACACAAAAACTTAGGCATACAATATTGGATCTAGCCGTAACTGGTTTGGCTTGGTTTTTAGAGTGTCGGCCTGAAGGGTCTTGGGTTTGATTCCAGCAGAGGCATGTATGTCAGTTGCAGGCTGATTGGGGCACATGCGGCTAACAATCTGTGTGTCCCATGTTGATGTTTCTCTTTATCTCTGCCCTTCCCTTCCACTCTAAAAACCAATGGAAAAAATATCCTCGGGTAAGGATTAACAACAACAAAAACCCTGTATCTACCTTGAATTAAAAAAAAACAAACAAAAAACTTAAATGACCCAATTCGCTTAACAAGGAGATGCATGAGTTTCTGGAAAGTAGGAGACAAAACTCAGATCATAACTATCTTTAAACCTAAGAGTAAGAGTAAAAGGGTCCAGAGAAATCTATGGATCATGGATCTGCTCAGTGTCCAGTTATGGTACACCACTGACCTACATAATAAAACTGAGAGATTATAAATTGTTTTCAATGTTCTATCACAAAAAAAATAATATATTCAACAAAAATGAAAACAACAACAAAATTAGAACATATATAATTAAAACTGAGACTAGGTCACTGATCTTTACTGCTTCCCTGAGATAACCAGAAGCCTTTTTTTGGCTAAATAAACTATTGGTAATTCATTATTTTCTCAAGAAAATCTCACCCTCCTCATCTATGCTCAGACCAATGGCAGGAAGAGACACATTTAGCAATCTATAGTATTTGTACTCAGCCTTTCCCCAAAGAAGTTTTTCTCATCAAAGGAAGCAGTTCTATTTTGGTTCTTACTTCCTGTGACAAATGCAGGCATGATGTCCAGTGTGTGGCCATCATGCTGTTTCTAACTAGCATGTTCATGGTATTCCTGGTGTTTTGCAGTAAGAGGCGAAATGTCTCTTAACATTTCCCAAGCCATTTTTAAGGCTATCTTAGCCATACAATTACCTGCAAAGAATGTAAAAGTCCTCAGAAACAATAAAGGAATGCATGTGGTTGGGGTGAATAGATCACAATAAGGGATTTGTAATTCCTTTTCCAAAACTACTCAAGTCATTCCACAAACCATGGGAAGTCTTATCTTATTCTTCCTTGTATACTAGAATATTTACATTTTCAGATTCCCTAGCAGAGATTATAAAAGAGATCACCTTAAAAATCATGTTTCCTATAAAATGACAAGAGTGAATTATATAAAAGTTGTTTTCTTACCTTTTTAAGACCTAAGTATTCTTATTGCCAATCCAAATTTAAATTTAATTCAACCCCTATGCTGGTTAAATTTTCTATATTATGAAAAGTTACCTCATCTTGAATCAAACTTCTCTGTCTTTCTAATTTTGACATATGGTGGGTTACTTGCAAGATAGGAGATTTTGAGGGGATTTGGATAAAGAAAAGAGATGTATGTACTAGATGGGATTTTGTTTCTAGAGATGATGGAGAAAATTTATAGGCACAGTAGCATATCCAAAGCAGTGTTTTGTTCCAGAGATGGAGTTTCACCTATGGATATTGTACATCTTATATTAGCAGTAGGTGATTCTTTCTATTGTTGTTGTTTTAATCTTAGGTTCTTAGAATGTCCTGACTTTTTAAAAAGTCTGTTCTTTGGATAATAACTTTGATTATATTAGCAGCATTATAAATTTATCATTGTCTAGAATATAGCTACCATGACCTAATTTTTATTGTGATAGGTTATGTTTTTATTTTATTTTTCTCTTTTAGATCCATTTTTCCTGTACACCCGTCCTTCAGAATCATTGCCTTGGCAGAGCCCCCTGTTATTGGAAGCACAACACAGCAGTGGCTGGGGCCCGAATTCTTAACCATGTTCTTTTTCCATTACATGAGACCACTTGTCAAAAGTGAAGAAATCCAAGTAATTAAGGAAATGGTAAGAGTGAGGTTCAGTTTTCCTCTTTCTAAGGCACTCTTACCCCTACTGGAGCAGAACTGGACATTTTTGGCTTCTCCCTACTTACTCCCAAATGCCCTTATAAAATGGTTCTCAAATGTTAACATTTTGCAGAATCATCTGGAGGATTTGGTAAAATGCAAATGGCTGAGTCAGTAGGTCTGGGATACAGTACATGGTAATTTGCATTTCTGAAGTTCTTAGGTAATGCTGATATTGCTGCAGGTCTTGGGAACACTGTTTGAGAACCACGGATGTATGCTGTCTCCCCTCTTTCCTTTTGTGGAGGCAGTTCAGTGGTTCCTTTTCCTTTTATATTCAGTTAAAAGTGACTATTTTAAGTTCCTGCTATAAAGAGAGGTTATTGTATGTTGTTCCTTAGGTTCTGTAGCAAATACCAAGGAGTCCTGGGCTCCTCAGGACTGTAATATATCCTGTTCTATACTGACCTGATTCGGTGTCTGGTGGCTTGAAGTATAGGTAATCTATTACTTCAGTGTCTGGCTGTAGCAGGCATTGTGTTTAACATTTTCTAGAACTATACTATTCAGTGTAATAGCACTGGCCATAAAATTTTAAAATTTAGTTTCTAAGTTATATTTCAGTAACTACATGTGTTTTGGCTAACATATTAGAAAGCATGGTAAAGAACATTTTCTTCATCATAGAAAGTTCTATTTGATGATGTTCTAGATCACAAATAAGAAACTTTTTTTCCTAAAAAGTTAATACTACTCATTCCCCTTAAAACACTAGAATGAACTTTTTAGATCTTGTCAGCATGGTGGCGGATAAGGGTGTCAGTTTTAAAGATAAACAACTCGCCTTTAAATGCCAAATTCACTGCTTATTAACTTCCATATCTTGGGCAGATTATTCAACCATAATTTCTTTATCTGAAGATGCAGACAATAGTACTTCTTATATCATTGGATTGATTTAAATAATAAATAAGATAAAGTATGTACTGAATAGGACTTAGAATTTTGAAAAGTTTCAATCGCTTAAATGATAAAAGTTTACATCTGAAATGGCTATGTTTTACCAGTTGTTCTAACATCACTTTCTGATTTTTTAAATTAAAGTTTAAATTTGTTTTTGTTTAAGTAAAATTTTCTTATAATTATGTATTTAATTAGATTAAAATGTTATAATTAAGACACTTAATGTGTGTCATTTGGGCAACTATTCAGAGTTCATTGATAAATTAATCATGTGCCTTGGATATGAAGTTGAAAAGTTCTGAAAAATTGACAGCTTGAGTATCCATTCTTTATACAAGGATACCTTATGTGACTTAGTAGACATAAATGTAAGATTACTACTAGTTAAGGAGTTCAGTTTCAGTAAGAAAATGCCTAAATTAGTTTTAAAAATCATGCTGAAGCTAACAAAAAGGGAAATGATAATATATGAAAGTTTTTATAGGCATACTATATGCTAGTTTTTGAGTTAGAATCTTCTTTCAGTTTTATGCTGGTGATAGAATTGTAAATGGAGAATAGTGGCTTGGTTTTAATTACCTGATTCTTACAAAGAAAATGGTGGGTATAAGAATTTTCTAAGAATAAGTAAGTTTATCCATGAAATAATCATGTAAACTGTAATAAGAGTTTTTCTAAAAGTGTAATTCTAATTATTTACTAAGTAGCCATAGTTTATGATTTATTGATCAGATACCCCAAATTATTCTTTCTGTCTTTCCTCAATTCTCTCATAAATAGGTACCAAATATTCCTCAGGATGCTTTGGACAAATTGTTATCATTTACACACAAACTCAGAGAGACAGAAGATCCGACGGTAAGTCTGGATTTTCTATTGCTGATAGGCTGCTTTTTGTTCTTAAAGTTCAGTGCTTTAAAATCTGTTTTTTAAGCTGGAATTTTTATTCCTGTGTTACACTTTGTCCTATGCATATGTCTTACTCTTTCAATGATTTTAATATTCTTCTAGCTCCTCATGGCTGATGTTATAGAAAACAACTTTAGCTCTAGAGGTGTCCTTGGTACTCCTGGGATTTGGCCCTGTTTCTTCTACCTCCCATGCTGAGCAATTTCATCTATTCTTATGGCTTCAAGTAGCAACTCTAGGATAATGCCTACACCTTTATCTTTGCCTTCTAACTTCTCTTTCCTGATTTCTTCTTTATCTATCATTGTATCTCCATGCTGGGATAGTATTTTGGAAAGATGTAGGGATGTCACTAACTCTGAGTCTCAGTATTCTCATCTGCAAAATGGGAACGGTGCCTGTACCTCATAAGGATGTTCTGAGGTGATGGGATATAGAACTAAATGATCTTTCTCCTTTATATTGACCCATTCCTTATATAATTTCCTGACTTTATTAATAACCTGGCTACCAAATTACCTAAATTAGAAACTTTGACATCATTGTTGATTCTTTGCTTTCCCACTATTTCAACTTACCCTGAAGAAATATCTCATCTACTTAGCATGTTGATGTGTAAAATGTGCTCTTATCTATTGTCAGTAACTATCCTAGTAGTGGATTTTATAATCTTTCTCCTAGATACTGTTATTTCCTCTTGTCTTCCCTCTTCATCAATAATCTATTCCTCTTGTGGTCCTCTATTACTTTTTCCTATACCTGTTATAACAAACTAGAGGCCCAGTGCATGAATTAGTACACAGGTGGGATCTGGCTGGTTCCGACCTCGATTGGGGGGGGAGCAATTGGGAGTGAGGCAGACTGGGGGGGTGGTGTGGGCAGTTGGCTGACCAGCCCTGCCCTCTGGTTGAACTCCTGGTTAAGGGAACAATTTGCATATTCACCTTTTATTATATAGGTTTACTATAAATTGGTGGTTTATGACAAAAATTTATTTTCTCACAGTTCTGGACATCAAAAGTTTAAAATGGGTATCACTGAGCTGAAAGCAAGTATCAGCAGGGTCATATCCTCTTGGAAGCTCAAAGGAAGACTACATTCCTTTCCTGTTTCAGTTTCTGGTGGCTGCTGGGATTCCTTGACTTGTCACTTCAGTCTCTGCCTCTATCTTCACATCACCTTCTCGTCTGTGTGTCATGTCAAATCTTTTTCTGCCTCTATTTCATAAGGATACATATGATTGCATTTAGTAGTCATCCAGATAATTCAGGATAATCTCCACATCTCAGAAGTTTTTAATGTTATCTGTAGCCCCAGCTTTGCCATAAGGGTAAAATTCAAAAGTTGTTTGTAGGAACCATTTTCTAACCGGCACAGGAGACCTCATCTCCAGCTACTCATTGTTTTCAGCTACACCATTCTTCTTGCTGTTCTTGAACACTTGTGCCTGCCTCAGGGCCCTTGCCACTTGGTGTCTCCTCTGCCTGATTGCTCCTCGAAGGTAGCTACAGGTTTGCTCCTTCACCTCTTTTGGATTACTCAGATGTCTCCTTTCTAGTGAGGCCTTCCTAAAGCACTCTGTTTACTAGTAGAAGCACATATCTTTCAATTTTATTTTTTTCTCTTTGTTTTAACGTCCTTCATATATCTTATTATCCTTTGTCAAAATATATATTTTATTCCTTTTTTTTTTTTTTACATCCTCACCTGAGGACATTCTGGTGTGAGTGTGTGTGTGTGTGTGTGTAAAAAGAGAGGAGGGGGAGAGAAAGAAAGAGAGAGAGAGAGAAGAGAGAGAGATGAAAGAGAAATATTGGTTGGCTGCCTTCCGTATGTGTCCTGACTGGTGATTGAACCAGCAACCCTTTGGTGCACAGGACGACACTCATCCAACTGAGGCACTCTGGCCAGCTTTTTTACTCATTTTTCCTCACTCAGATTTTAGTTCTGAGGTGGAGAGTTCTTTATTTGTTATGGTTGCTTCTGTATCTGGAACTTTACCTACTACATAGTAGATGTTCAATAAATATCTGTTGAATGAATGAATGAATGAGTGAATGAATGAATGAATTTCCCATATTGTCCCAGGAGTGATCTTTCCCAAATCCATTTCCTAGGTTCTCCCCTTCTTTAAAACTGTTATGGGATGGATTCTCTTTGTCTGTAGACTGAAGGACAACCTGCTAAGCATGCCTGCTGAGTTCCATCTCACCCTGGCTGCTTTTCCAGCCTCATTTCCTACAGCCTGTTTTGAAGCACCCTCAGTTCTACCAAACTTTGCTTCTTGCTGTCTTTTAAGCCCATTGCTTAACCACTGGTGGTCCATGAGGTCCAAAAGGTTGGCGACCGCTGGTTTAAGGAAACCTTTGGAGTAGTGGGCGACCCACATGCCTCTGCCTTAGATGATGCCTGGAATTTGCTTTCTCTCTGTCCACTTGCACTCAGGTTCCCTGTTCTATTAGGTGTCTCTCAGTCCCCTTAGGCAGAAGTAACCTCTATATCCAGTCTGCTTTATGACATTTGGCCTAGATTTCTCATATTGACCTATTGCAGCTATAGCACAGTGTATTTTTATCTCCCCAATTAAAATATGAACTCCTGGAGGCCACTTTTTATTCATTTCTTTATTCCCATTTCCTTTCATATAGTAGATACTTAGATGTTTGATGAAGAAATGAATAAATTAATTAATAGATTGTCTTTAGAGTTTCATCTCCCTGAGAACATGCTACATTTTTGTAAAAGAAATGTCTGTAAGAGGTGCAAGAGAAAAATTATTTTTAATCATTTTATCAGAATTTTTATCTCTTTAAGCTGAAGTACTATTTTTAATTATGCTAATATGAAAAATCCTTAAGGTGTACTCTGAAACTGCATAACCATGGTAACTAAAGAAATGTGCTAACATCCGCACTTGCTCTTTTGGAAATTTGATATTATAAATGTTAAACATATTAGGGATTTTTCAACTAAAATACACTCTCATTTTTTAATGACTAATGTGAGAGCAGAGATAACCAAACCTTTTATTTAACACTAAAATGGCTGATTGTAAAGCTTCATTTGATTTTTTTTTTTAACACTGGATGCTATTGCAAAGCATTTTTATATTAACTGAGGTAGTTGGTATTGTTAGGGTTTTTTGGCCAGTGACGCAGGCTGTGAAAGTATTCACAACTAAAAGAAGAGATGGATGGAGAGAGAAAGTTTATTTTACTTTCCTGAAAAGGAAAGATCTGGTGCATTGTTAATCAATACAAGGGCAAAGAACAAAAGTGGCACTCTCCCTTTTAAAGCCTTGGCTGCTGTTGCTAGGTGACAAGTCAGGGAGGGGGATTTGGGGGCTGAAATTGAGCAGACATCAAAGAGGTTGTAGTTTGTTTGTTCTTCAGGAGACAATACAGGCAGACGTCCTAGGGAAGTGTTTTATTAGTATTTTTCTAAAGTCTATAAAACATTTTTAGAGCAAAGTTAAGAAGAGTTCAAAAGAGGCTTGTTTGAAGATGAGGGGGTAGGGGACTTTCTATTAGAGATTTCTTGGGGAAACTATTCTTGAATTGTAAAAATAGCAGGGAGGAGGAGTATGCAAGAGTGTAGCCTTGAGAGTAGCTTATCTTGTTTTGCAGTTTGAACAGAGGAGCTGTTTGAATCAGAGGAGCTAACAATCTTGGGATTAAATTACCAGGTGCTTCTCATAAATTGTGGCAGGTTACAGCAAAGAAAAAGTAAAGCCTTTTTCCTATCCTAATGGGTATTTTTAAAAATTTATACGAAATCATTACTGAATGAAATGTGAGGCCTGAACTGTGTTGTGTTTGGGATGAGATTAGACTGTTGTTTCTAATCTCTTTAAGCTGTTGTTTTTATCTCTTTAAGCTGAAGTACTATTTTTAAACCATATTAACCTATTAAACCATAATGTAACTAGAAAGTTACATTATGGTTTAATAGGATTCTTGTCATGGAAATCTCTGGTTTGGTGTTATTTGTCAAACGTTTTCCATTATGAAGGTAGGAATTTTTCATGGTCCCAGGTATTAAGGATGGGAATTGCTGGTCATGTTTAACTTCTGATACTTTCAGCCATACGAGCTAAAATAATCTTATCTTCAATTCTTTTCTCCATCTCATACCCATTAGTTGCCAAGTCCTTTGAAGCAAGTGTTGATCTCATCCCTCTGTTCTTTTTGCCAATAACCTTACTGTAAGATTTTATCTTTTTGTAGGTAGATTACTGTCCTTCAACCACTGCTGCCAGATTAATCTTCCTAAAGTCATGTTACTGTGTTACACATCAGAAAGTTCCATTGCTTTCGGAGCCAGGCCAAACACCTCAGAGTGTCAGTCTTTGATATTTGGGAGCAAGACTTCCAGCAGGACCCTCTAACAAAGCTGGGCTGGCTTCCTTATGTTCTGTATGTGTTTCTGTTCCTTTTGCATTCATGCCTTTGTTCATAGCATTTCTTTTTCCATTTGAGCATTATAAGCCCCTATGCAGTCGTCAAGTGCTCTACTTATTTTGGCAGTAAACTATATGCTATTTTGAATTGCAACATTTTCTTTCTTATATTGAAATATTGTCTCCCTGTCTAGAATGCAAATTTCTTGGAAACAAAGATGAACCAGTGTTTGCTTATAATTGAGTTATTTGAAACTTAGAATGTGTTTTTAATAGATAAAATTAATATTTTATAAGTGGTGGTTGTGCTTTCAACCTAGTTCCCAAAGGGTCACTTAACCCTTGTCATAGCTGAAATATCCTATATAATAAAGACATAATATGCAAATTGTCACTACACTGTGAAGCATAATGACCAACCATGTAAGGACTGGATCAAGGATCAGCAAGAGGGTGGGGCATCGAGCTACAAGTGGGCGGTGGAGAGCTACAGGAGGGGGCAGGGCAGCAAGCTATTAGGGAGAGGGAGCGGGGGAGGGGGGATGAAGGGAGCTACAGGAGGGCGGGGCAGTTGGCAGAGAGCTACTGGAGGACAGCAGTGAGCTACTGGTGAGCTACTGGCACATGGATTCATGCACAGGGCTACTAGTAACATTAATAATAGCAGATCAGAATTTCATGGAACTATGAAATACATGAGGAAGGAGAAATTAATTCATTCTTCCTTGGGACATACAGAAATGACTGACTTTAACAGAAATGTTGAAATAAGCAAAAAAATAATATGCCTTCTTCATCCTCCCATCATCCATTTTGAACCCTTTGTTAATGTCATAGAGTCCCCTTCTCTGCTCCCTTAGGTGCTCGGGGCCACTATACTGCCCTCATACTCACTGTGACATTTCAGAGAGCTAGTTGCTTCAAAAATTCTTTCCTCTGGTTTTCATTGAAAATTCTTATCTCCTAATGTTAGTGATCTATGTTAAAAAGTAGGCCAATAATACTCTGATTTATTAAATTCATTTTAATGTACAGGCCACATCTTCTTTCTCTGTTAAGCTTTTTTTCTTTTCATTTTGAAGAGGCTGACTTAATAATTTTTGGTATTTTTTTCATATCCACATGTGTTGGACCTACACTAAGTGCTATAGAATAATTTTCTAATTGAATCCTCATAACAACCTTAAAGATGAAGGCATTATTATTGCCATTTTAAAGATGAGGAAACTGAGGCTCAAAGAGATTAAGAAATTTCTTAAGTTCACATAGCTAATAAATAGGAGCCTGATTTGTCTGATTTTAGAGCTTATAAACTTTGCCGTTACATTATGCTTCCTGCCAAGATAATTTTAAATTCAAGTTAGAAATATTTATTGGTATTTACATGTCCTAAGTTCTGTACTAGCAACTCTACTATTGGGACTTGGGGAAGAATAAGAAAAGAAATAAATTATTCTGGCAGTGTGGCGAGAGGATTCTGAACAGCAAGCTGCTACCAAGTGACAAACGCGTGGACATCTCTGTGGTCAGCAGCCTAATTGTCCATTAATCTTTTCCTGTATTTCAAAAGCCATAGTTTACTTAGCGCTCTAAGCATTTTCAGGATATATTAACAGTTCAGCTTTGTATAAACAGAAAAGAAATAGTTGATTGTACATAAGGGCTATTTTTAAGTCGAGAGTGACCTGTGTTATGTTATATCCTTCCTTCATTTAACCACCTCCCCAAAAAGACATGTATACACAGCTTTTAGTACAATGAAAACACTTTAATTGATAAACACCTTTTATAGATTAAAAGACTATCTTTAAGCATGTTTTGAATGTTAATTGGTTTCTATTTATGTTTATTTGTAATTCATTAACAGTGCATATTTATTTAAGTTTGGCCTTGTCCTTCAGGAATAATGAATTATGCTATGATACCCATCTAAAGGGACTTGCAGCAAGTTGAATCAAGACTCTTAACAGACTGTCTTTGCCTTTTAATAGGCACAGTCATTGGCAGCATCACTTTCTACCAGACAGTTGTTGCGAATTTCTCGTCGGCTGTCACAGTACCCTAATGAAAATCTTCACAGTGCTGTCACTAAAGCCTGCCTTTCCAGGTAACCTTATTCTCCCGTCTTACTGAATTCTAGTTTTTGCATCTTTGCTAAAATAGTAACATAGGTTTAATTGATAGTCTGGAAAAGTTTTGTTCTGAATATGTAGCTGTTTCAGCCTTGTGTTCAACTTTCAGAACATATCATGTTTAGGCATAACGACAATTTTAAGAGGTACTTTATAGATAAGAAAACTTCTTAAGTCACATGAGGGAAGGCAGGGCCACATAATGATAAATAATTAAAAGTAGGTTTGAGGATTAAACACAAGGTTCATGTGTTTTCTGAGTTAATGTTCTTAATTATACTTAACTAGAGACCCGGTGCACAAAATTTGTGCACATTAAAAGGGGATTAATTAGAGGAAATAATTTAATATTGCTATTTGCCCTTTATAATAGAAGTGTCAGAGATGAAAGAAAATTAGTAAAATGTATATGAAAACCTTCCTCCTGTCAGAGTCTGGGGCTCACCACGGGACCCAGAGTCAAGTCCCCGCCAACCCACATGCACCTCAAAATCGCTTGAGACCCAGACCCGGCCAGTCCCCCCCACATTTGGCTAGGTCCAGACCTGGCCAGTCTCACCCTTGTCAAGCTCTGGGCAGGGGGTGTAGTCCTCCATCAAGCCCCACCAGGTGGGGGGGCACAACTTCAGATCACCCGCCAAGCCCCACTGAACAGGGGCATGTCCTGAGGTCCCCTGTCAAACCCAGCCAGGCTAGGGGGTATAGCCTCAGATCCCCTGGCTCAGTGCTGGGGCAGGGAACATGGCCTGAGGTCCCCTGTCAAGCTCCACAGGGGTGGGAGAGGGCATAGCCTCAAGTCTCTGCTGATTGCTCATTAAGGTTCCTTATTGGAACTTGGACTCAGCTATGGGTGCAACCATCTTTGTGACAACCATCTTTGTGATAGTCAATTAGCATATTCCCTTTTTATTATATAGGATGCCTTCCAAATTTGCATTGGAACTTTCCATGCACTTCCTATTGCCCAAATTTAACAAAACGAACATTTTTTCAGTCTCCACTAATATTTTTCATATCCATATGGAAGTGATAATAAATCATTGGCTCATAGAGTTTTCTTACAGAATCACACTTGGCGTGAAACAATTTTAAAAGAATAATAAGAAAGAATAAGAACAATATTCAGTAGGCCCAGGGGTTTCTTTTAGACTCATTTCATATGATCTGGTGGTAATGACTGTTGTTCATTCATTCCTTGATATATAAAAGGACTTACCGGTAGTCACACTTTGTTAATAGAAATAGTCAGTGCTAAGCAATGTTAACCTTTTTTGGAGCCTAAGAGGAAATAATACTTTGGATATATTAGAATGAAGTAATCACCTTTTGTGGATCTTGATATACATCCTGGTAGTTAAATCAACTTTCAATCTCTTTTATTAAAAAAGCAAATAAAAATAAAATCAAGTAATATGAATTGATCAAGTATGCACATATAAATTTTTGGTAACCACAAAAAGAATGGAAATGGATCCAGTAGAGGTGAAAATAAGCAAATAGAGAAAACTTGACTTAGTAGCCTTTCAAAAGTCAATAGGTGATGCATACACAAGAGAGTTATTTGACTTATTTGCAAAGGGTCATGGAATGGTAACAAAATAGAGCTTTATTGTGGTCAGTTAATAACACTGGAAAAATGAGCTGTTTAATTCAGTGAAATATTTATGAGTATGGAAAGTAAGCATTTTTTTAGTTTTTTGAGTTTTTAAGTATAAAATATTTTAAAGATACAGAAAAGGTGCTAAACTTCATTATTGTTCAAGTAAATGAAATTAAGATGATAACTATCATTTGATACATTTTTTTACCTGTAAAAATTATTTTTTTTCATGAGTAGAAGGAAGTAAACTTTTTTATTGTTTATTTTTTTTATTGACTAAGGTATTACATATTATGTAATAATATGTCCTTATCTCCCTATTGCCCCCTACTTCTGCCCTCACCCCCCCCTAGTTTCTGTGTCCATTGGTTATGCTCATATGCATGCATACAAGTCCTTTGGTTGATCTCTCCTCCTTACCCCCACCCTCTCCTGCCTTCCCTCTGAGGTTTGATTGATGATTCTCTGTCTCTGGATCTGTTTTTGTTAATCAGTGTATGTTCATTATATTCCACAAATGAGTGAGATCATGTGATATTTATCTTTCTCCAACTGATTTATTTCATTTAGCATAATGCTCTCGAGGTCCATCCATGCTGTTGCAAGTGGTAGAAGTTCCTTCCTTTTTACAGTAGGGTAGTATTCCATTGTGTAGATGTACCACAGTTTTTAATCCACTCAAGCTATATTACAAAACCACTATTCTCAAAATTGCCTGGTACTGGCACAAGAACAGACATACAGACCAATGGAATAGAATAGAGAACCCAGAAATCAACCCAAAACACTATGCTCAATTAATATTTGACAAATGAGGCATGAACATACAATGAAGTCAAGACAGTCTCTTTAATAAATGATGTTGGAAAAATTGGACAGATACATGCAAAAAAAAAATTGAAACTAGACCACCAACTTACACCATACACAAAAATAAAATAAAAATGGATAAAGGACTTAAACATAAGAAAGGAAACCATAAAAATCTTAGAGGAATTCACAGGCAGCGAAATCTCAGACATATGTCATAGCAATGTCTTCACTGATACAGCTCCTCGGGCAATGAGAACTAAAGAGAACATAAACAGTGGGACTACATCAAAATACAAAGCTTTTACACAGCAAAAGAAACCATCAACAAAACAACAAAAAAGCTCTCTGCCTGGGAGAACATATTTGCCATTGTTATCTCCAATAGGGGTTTAATTTCCAACCTTTACAGGGAACTCATACAACTTAACAAAAGGAAGATAAACAACCCAATAAAAAAATGGGCAATGGACCTAAATGATACTTTTTGAAAGAAGACATACAGAAGGCCTAGAGCTATATGAAAACATGCTCAAAGTCACTTATCATCTGAGAGATGCAAATCAAAACGACAATGAGGTACCATCTCACACCTGTCAGAATGGCTATCTTCAACAAATCAACAAATGACAAGTGCTGGCGGGGATGCGGAGAAAAAGAAACCCTTGTGCACTGCTGGTGGGAATGCAGATTGGTGCAGCCACTGTGAAGTACAGTATGGAGTTTCCTCAAAAAATTAAAAATGGAGCTCCATTAGACCCTGCAATCCCATTTCTAGGAATATACCCCAAGAAGCTGAAAACACCCAATCAGAAAGGATATATGCACCCCTATGTTCATAGCAGCACAATTCACAATAGCTAAGATTTGGAAACAGCCTAAGTGCCCATTAGCAGGAAGTAAACTTTTGGAGTTGATCATACAGTATATCTTTATGCCAAAATGTATTAATACCATACCATCTGACAATTCTATTTTTTGACATTATCTTAAAGATATACTTATGTGTATCTATAAGGAGGCATGTAGAAGAGAGAGAAGCATTTATTAGTTGGCTCCTGAACACATCCCAATCAGGGATCGAACCTGCAACCTTGGTATGAGCCCTGACTAGGAATCTAACCCGCAACCTTTTGGTATATGGGTCAACACTCCAACCAACTAAGCTACCCAGCCAGGGCACCCTAAGTTATCTTAAATATCCCGGTACTGTTTAATATTTAAAGTCACAGTTGTAAATTAATTAATTAATGTGTAAGTAATGTGTAAAAAGGCTGCCTGACATTCATGGAGCCCCTCAGTCTTTTTCTCTCACTCTTACTACTAATACTTCTTCCCTCAGGGCTAGTAATTTGGAAGTATCCCCTATCCTTGTTCTAGCTTCTCATACTATCATCCTGAGAAATCCTCTTTTATTCCTTAATCTAAAGGTCCTATTCCATACCTGTGACAAAGACACAGTTATTTGAGTTAGCTTAGGGCAACTACTTCAGTTTCTGGGTTTCTCAGAATATGGTTGAATCTTCCTTTAGTTTTTTTTTTTTTTTTTTTTTTTTTTTTTTTTTTTTTTTTTTTTTTTTTTTTTTTTTTATAATCAAGACCTACCAAAACTAGACACTTTCTAATTCTTTTGCTGAGAGTAAATAATAATAATAATAGTAATGTTTATTTTTAAAAGACACTCTAATCCCCAATGACTGATAAATGCAGAGTGTTGTTTGGACAAAAATACATATAGGATAGATAAGCAGGTACATTTTTTAATTGGAAGGAATAACTAAGTTAGATAATATTAAATTTATTCAATGATTTGTTTTAGAAAGTAAAAGAAACCTCATTAATTCACCTCCACTAATTTGAATTTGTGATTGCCAACTTGGAGAAGGTTAAAGTACATTATTGCATTATTTTTTTATCTATTTAAGAAAATTTGATAACCCAGCTCAGTGATAACCAAGATTTCTGAAGTATACTAAATCCATTTTCAAAAGCAAATTATGTGTTTTGTCCTGCAAAATGTTGTATATAAATGAAGACTACTAGTAAATGCAAATGTGTTTTACTTATTAAAAGGAGATTCAGTAAACATATACTTCATTGTCATGTGTACATGTAATTATTTACTATTTGTATTTCACAGATCCAGATTGAACTTCCTTAATTAGTTGTAATTAGTGTGTGTGTGTGTGTGTGTGTGTGTGTGTGTGTGTCTGTGTACACATGTCAAATGATGTTTAGTGATCACAGAAAGCTTTGACTTTATCATTACTCTCCCCTCCTCACCCTCTTCACCACAGGTTTTTACCAAGTCTTGCAAGGTCAGCATTAGAAAAAAATCTGGCAGATGCTTCAATTGAAATAAGTTCTGATGATAATCTAGAACCAGAACTGGAGAATTACAAATGTAAGTATTTGGTTTCTTTCCCTTCTAAGTGAAATAACTATTGAATATTTTCTATTATCAACTTTAAATTAAAAAAAATGGCTTTGTTTTTCATTTATTTTGCTTTATTTAGGGTTGAAGAAATGAATCTATAATTTTATTATGTTTTTTAATATTTAGGTTTAAACCCACTTAAAAGTTAATTCTTAGAATACGTCCTTTATATCCATATCAGATACAGGTCCTCCCCCCATGCCCAATCCCACTCCTCCAGGAGTCATAGTTGTGGTGATCATGTTAAAGGCTCTCAGAATTTCTGGTGTAAATTAACTTATGTGATTTTGTTTAACCTTTTTTTCCAACTGTATTTCACCATAGCATCAAAAACTCTGTTATCCTTTCATAGCATTTACATTTTGAGGACCAGATGTGTTTTATGGGAAGCTCTTCTAGGTTGAGATAGACTAAAATAATATTCAGAACACTATTCTATTCAGAACACTATTCCATACATTCCTAATCTCCCAGGTCCACATATTATCTTTTGTGGTACTTTTCTCCTGAACAGCCATATGTATCATTTTGAAGTCGGGGGGAGGATTTAGCTCTTCCTATGAAAGTTTCTCATTCTTCAATTAGAGCACAATGAAAGGTTCTATGATTTTTGAGGTACTAATATGACCTGTTTTATCAAAACATCCAATGCGTGACCATTCTTTTTTTTTTTAAATATATATTTTTTATTTTTTACAGAGAGGAAGGAAGAGAGAGGGATAGAGAGTTAGAAACATCGATGAGAGAGAATCATCGATCAGCTGCCTCTTGCACACCCCCTACTGGGGATGTACCTACAACTAAGGTACATGCCCTTGACTGGAATCGAACCTGGGACCTTTCAGTCCTCAGGCCAACGCTCTATCCACTGAGCCAAACCGGTTTCGGCCAATGTGTGACCATTCTTCAAAAAGAATTATTGTGGTTTTCTTTGAAGTAGGTGTTTTTAATTGTTGGGGATACACTGACTGTGATAATAAGAAAATAAGATTCCTTTTTCAAAAGTAAAATGATAAACTGCATACTGATGGATTTGAGTGTAGATACATAGAGCCAGTTCAGAGACAGGATAACTTACATACTTTTTAGACTATAATGTTATTTGATTGAATGTGTGTATCTATATAATGAAAAACGGCATCATTCATACAATTGATTGTTTAGTTTTGGTAACAGGGCAGTATTAGCAGTCCCCATCTAAGTTTTGTATAGAGGATAAGGGACCTAAATCAAGAGACTTTTGATTGCTCTGATTCCATTCATCTTTAATGTCCATCCTTTTGGAAAATTCATTTAATTTACTTTTCTTTTTAAAAAATATAATTTTATTGATTTCAGTAAGGAAGGAAGAGGGAGAAAGAGAAAACATCAATGATGAGAGAGAATCATTGATCACTGCCTCCTGCATGCCCCCTACTGGGGAGTCAGCCTGCAACCTGGTATGTGCCCTGACTGGGAATTGAACTTTGACCTCCTGGTGCATAGGTCAATGGTCAACCACTGAGCCATGCCAGCTGGGCTAATTCACTTTGTTTAAGGACCATGCTCACAAAGCAACATTCCATGTGGATTTAGCTTTTTTTATGCACGTCTTCCTCTAGATAATATGCTGATAGGACAACCCAGATGTCATATAGTTCATATGAAAGTTTTCATTGCAGTATAATACTTTGCAATTCTGGTTTTATATATAAAAAATTACTTATAGTTTAGAATTTATGTCTTTAATAATCTCCTGAGAGTTAGATTTGCCCTTTGTGAGGACAAAATCAGATTTTGAGCCTACTAGTCTGAGGATTTGACAGATTTATCATAATAATGCCATCCCCTTAGATCGTTAGCCAGATTTCTCCCAGGGAACTATAGTATCACCATTCTGTCCCTTTCCTATCTTAAAATTATAACAATAAATGTGGTTCATTGAATTAAATTGTACTAATGCCCTAAATGTATTAAGCAAATATATCCATAAACTAAACCAAGTTGATATCAGATATTGTTTGAATCTGAAATTATGTGTGTCATCTCAACGTACAAATATTATATATAGTAAATTCACTGCCACAGTACCGGTCTTTCATTTTACAGTTTTATATTTGATCTATTTCAGAGACCTGATGGTAGTAAAAAATAAATAAATAAATCCCAGTGACAGCTTACAGTTCTTTCCTCTATGGATCTTGTAGCTAAAAGGAAAATGGTGAAGTCTACTGTGCTGTGGCAAGTGTGTAACACTCAGCAGTGGTTAAGCAGGGTGACAGTTTAATTATTTTCAGCTTAAAATTGTTCACGGTACTCCATAGACGCAAATGTTGCTTTTTCACCTCGTCTTTTAAAATGCTTTAGTACACAAATAGAAACTGTCATATTAAAAGTAGGGAGGGAAAAGATGGGTCAGTTATTGTAGGCATTATAATTGTCTACCTGCTTGCTAGAGTATTTCCATAGGATGGAATATTATTTGGAATCAAAGGATTGAACATACCCCACATGGCAAAAAGAATATTAGTTTTCTTTTTAGCTGTATCCACTCTAGTGGGGATATTTTAAGTAAATTACTTAAGAATGTTTTTCTTAGCTTCTTTATAATTCTTGTCTTATTATTAGGAAAATAAAATGAAATTATATGAGAAAACAATAAGCTGAAGCTCCTAGTTTGGGATCTGGCACGGAGATCGTTCTCAATGAATGATAGCTTCTATTATTGTGATAATCAGAATTACTACAACTACTGCCATTGGTGTTATTATTATGTTTTAATCTTTTAAAAAATGTATTTTTATTTATTTCAGAGAGGAGAGGAAAGAGAGCTAGAAACATTAGTGATGAGAGAGAATCATTGATTGGCTGCCTTCTACACACCCCACACTGGGGATGCAGCCTACAAACCCAGGCATATGCCCTGAACCAAATCTAACCATGACCTCATGGTTCATAGGTCAGTGTTCAACTACTAAGCAACACCAGCTGGGCAGTTTATTATTATTGACCTTAGCAAATATTAGACAGTGAACATATATGTCTGGTTTCTGTAGGGAATATACATGAAAGATGTTCCCTGACTTCAAGAAACTTACTATTTAGTTTTCTGGCTTCAATGAGCTAGATTTCTATTCTAGACCAACCATAAAAGGCATTGCAATAATAAATATCACAAAATAATTATGTAGCACCTGCAGTGCTTATTTGAAAATACATATCTCCTGGATCATCTCTGAAAATGTAATTTGCGAGGCCTGGCATGGATTGGTTCATTTGTATTTTTGACTAGCTATCTAAGGGATTCTCATGTGGGGTTTTGAATGAGTGGGTTCTGAAAAAATTATATTCAAGCACTTCAGAGCTTTTAAATGTGCATTTGGTTTATATATGTGTGATAGTCCTTGACTAAACAAGCTTATTAAGGTGACTGAGTTCTGGGTTTTGTTTTCTCCTCTCAATTTTATCTATATGCTGTTTGCTATATACATTGTTTTAATTATATTTTACTAGATGCCTGGTGCACGAAAATTTGTGTACTCAGGGGCGTCCTTCAGCCAGAGGACGTAGGCCAGGACCCCTCAGGGGATGTCCGCCTGCTCCCTGGGGGAATGGGCCTAAGCTAGTAGTCAGACATCCCTCTGGCAGCCTGGGAGCCCTCGGGGAGGAGGGGGGGAGGGAAGGGGTCCAACAGATGGCTTAGGCCCACTCCCCAAGAGTGGTCCTATGCCATTAGTCGGACATCCTTAGAGCTCCCTAGGAAGTGGGAGAGGCTCCGCCACTGCTGCTGCTCCCTCAGCCCTCACCCTGGCTTGTGGCTGAGCAGAGCTCCCCCTGTGGGAGCGCACTGACTGCCAGGGGGCAGCTCTTGTGTTGAGTGCCTGCCCCCTGGTGATCAGTGCACGTCATAGTGACTGGTTGTTCCTGGTCGGTCCCCAGTTAGGGTCAATTTGTATATTACCCTTTTATTATATAGATTTACATTTGGATCATTGATAGCTTTTTGTAGAGCTTTAAGCTTTTTATGTAAAGCTAAAAACTCTCTAGTGAGTAAAACACCTTCAAGGTTTTTATTACCACCTTAAAGCTTATTTCTTTTATATGTTAAATTAAAATTCCTTGACAAATCCACAGGATATTAAAGACGCTGTATTGCATTTTGTATGGGCTGAATTTGACTTCTATGAGAGCAATTCTGCAGGTAATTCTCTGTCCTGTGTGAAATTTTTAGGTGAAATAACATCTGGCTCTCTGAGAATTGGCGCTATTAGTACACCAATCCATAATGCCCACGAGAAAATGAAAGTGCCCGATGTTCTGTTCTACGACAACATTCAGGTAAAATCCTTGCTTTGCATTCTGGATAAATCACCACTTACATTGTAGTACTTCATTCTGATTCAAGTGAAACTGTTTAATTATTTTTATAATTTGCTAAATCCAGTTCAGATGATGCAAAGTGAAGTGTTGAAAAACACCTTCCATTAATGCATTATAATGTTTGGAAGAGCTGCTGCTATGAGTAGAGTATAATAAATTCAGGTAAATAAAATAAATATATTATTAAATTAAAAACAAAGTAGAACTAATAGCCTCTAATTTTGCTTTTTTATTGTTTAAATAACTTTAGTTTAAAGAAAGATATGTCCTATGCATTCTTTTTTTTTTTTCTTATCCTCAGCTGAGGATGTGTTTTATTAATTTTTAGGGAGAAAGAGAAAAAGAGAAAGAAACATTGATGTGAGAGTGAAATATTGATCAGTTATCTCCGTATGGTCGCTAATCAGGATTCAAACCCACAACCTAGATATATGCCGTGACCAGAACAGAACCTGCTACCATTCTGGTGTACACAACTCTCTAACCAACTGAGCCACTGGGCTGAAGCTGTCCAATGCATTCTTTCCTTCATATTACTTTCCTTTTTTGGAAAAATTTTAGTATTTTTCCTTTTTCCAGCCTTTACTTTTCCTCCTCCTCCTTCTTCTTGTTCTTGTTCTTCTTGTTCTTCTTGTTCTTGTTCTTCTTCTTCTTCTTGAGGGAAGACAGTAGACAGTCTCCACTTGCAAACCTATAATTATAGTCTTTCTGTTAAGACACAGAAATAAGTGTGTACACAGAATGCTTTATTGTAGATGTTTCCTTTAATAAGATTTTTTCCCACAGAAAATCACTCATAATATAAAAAGTTTTTCCCCAATTGGTTATTTATTTTATAATAAAACACATACTAAAATTTTTCTGTAATATTTGGTCACTAATCTGTATGTAAATAATAGCCTTCATTTACAAATTATGTTAGAAAAACTACCTACTGTTTTTACTATATTAAGGACTTAGGGATGTTGAAGTAAAATTTCTATTATCTGCCACTTTCCAATTCTATTTGTATTTCAATGAGTGTCATCATTTATATCCCTATGTTATTTTAACAACATAGAAGTTATCTAGGCAAATTCTTCTTTCTCAATAAAAATATTAATGAAATATTTTGAAATCTGTTAAAATTTTAGATAGCATAGCAAAAGACATAACCCAATTTGCTTTTTATTCATTCTGTAGCCAGTTAACTAATATAGATTTTATTTTCTTCCAGAGCGTTAATGTTCTTATATAAGCAGTAGACAAATTAACAGAAAATAAAGTTACTTATAAGACACAGAGGAAGAAAAAAATCTTTCCTGTCAATAAAGACAAAAACATAAATTGTAAGGAAAATATACTATTTCGAAGTATTGATATCACACTCTGTCCATGTAGTAGCAAAGAATAAAGAAAAAAGAATTAGGAAACTTTGATATAAGTGAAAATTTGAAAAAGTCCATGGTAGCAAACGTTTAAAAGACTTGCCAGCATACAAGAATGTAGGAGACTCAGTAGCAGGGAAGGCCATGGGTCTTTGAACATAGTGTCTGTTGCCATGGTGCTAATGACATAGACATTGAGGTCCGCAGGGCTGCTGTGAACTTTACACAGTGGCTCCGAGGGACTTTCTGTAGCCTGGCTCCAAACATGCCTTCTTTTCATAAAGCACTACGAATGAGCTATTAATGAAAATGTTTAGCTGTACCAATTCCAAAGACAGTCTCTTGATTAAATTTGCTTTTGTTGCATTTATTACTGCTTCCTTTTATGCCACACTCCATCTTTGAAGTAGTAGTCTTCAGTGCTTCTTGAATATTTAGGTGCTTCTATATCCTCTTGTTCTATGCCCTGTGGTCCTCTTACCACGTTATGTTGAAACTGATTTTTTAAATGTGTTTTTCTACATTTCTAGGAAACAGCATAGTGCCTGGCATAGAGTGATTGCTGAATAAATATCTGTTGAGCTAATTAACGAAAGGATGAATAAGATTTTAAGTGTTCATAATCAGGAATATTATTTCATTAAATCTATGATTAAGAAATATTGCATTAAGGAGGAGAAATTACAGGAGAGTTTAACAGCCTTTTAATAAGCGTAATGAGCTTTAGATCTGAAAAAGTTAAAAAAAAATACCTCCCATATGTCAAGCCTTGTCATAGGTATTAGAATACTGAGATGAAAATACACGTGTGCGTACACACACACACACACACACACACACACACACACACACACACACAGTCGTGTGCACACTCATGTACACAGTTCCAGAGCTGGGTCTGTCAAGGTGAGAGAAAGACATCTGAGTACACATAGCTACTTCACAGTATGATGGAAGTGCACACAGGTTACTATGGTAGCATTGATGAGAGGCTGGTCCCAGATTGGAATGATCATGAAAAATGAGTTTACCAGGCAAAGTTGAGAGAGTCTCTTAGGCAGAGAGACAAGCTATGTGAGAGACTTGGCTATGTGAGAGAGCAGCCAATTTAGGGAGCTACGTATAATTAATTGTCATTGGCACAAAAGCTGAGGTTGCAAATGGAAGAGTGACAAGAGATGAGGCTGATGAGTTAGGAAAGAGTCACATCTTCTGGACCTTGCTAATTAAGGAATTTGGCTGCTGTTCAGAGGAAGTGAGGAAGCCACTAATAGTTTTTGAGCACATTTACAATTTTGCTAGCTTTGCATTCACTCTTTAAAGTTGTCTATAAGTTGAAACCAAGGCAGAGAGAGACTAGGAAACTGTTGTAAATGGTTCAGATCAAAGTCATGAAGGATCTACTAGTAAACAAAGGCAGTGACAGTGGGGACAGAGTAGAAAGGATACATTGCAGAGCTATTTAGGAGGTAGAGTCAATAGAACTTTGTGTGAGATGAAAGACAAAGATTCTCCCCCAGAAGCACATGGTCTGGTGCAAAAGTTAAAAAATAAAGAAAAAGCTATTTTAAATTGTGAACACAGTGTAGGAGAAGAAGAGTGATAGGAGATGAAGATTGAGACTAAATAAGTTAAGGAATGACCTTTGATTCTAAGGTATTAGGAGTCTTTTAGGGAATTTTGAAGAGAGAAGTGACATGATTTTGAACAACGAAGTAACATTCAGTGCAGATATTCCTTGGAGATATTGTGAGTTTGGTTCCAGACCACCACAATAAAGTATATACCAATAAAACAAGTCGTAGTTCTTTTGCTGATGGAGAGTCTTACCTTCAATTTGTAAAAAAAAAAAAAAAAAAAAAAAAAAAAAAAGAGGTATGCCTGCACTGTAGAGAGCATGTTGGCTCACAGAGAGACTTAAGTTAAGAGTAGCCAAATTGTCTTATAAAAATCTAGGCTAAAGATAATAAAAACCTGAGTAAAAACTGTGGGGATAAAAAGGAAAGGATAAATACACTTGACTTTTTGATCCTCAGTAGCTTAGACTTGGTGTTTAATTGACTCTTGATATAGCAGGAGCCAGGTAGTAGAAAATGATAATATGAATCAGGATAAAAGATACAAGATAAACAATGACTTTGAGAGGAAAATAATGAGCTGAGTTTTGGATATAATGAGTTTGAGGAGACTGGGAAATAACCTAGTAGTTTGATAGTTACTCAGAAGTACAGTGCTGGAGTTGAGGAAAAAAGTCTTGCTGTTGAAGATGAGTGTAGAGTTGGTAGTTAAAGCCATGGAATGGATGAGAAAGGCGTTAGGAGAGTAGGGTCTGAAGTAGCTCTTCAGTTACTGGAGTGGGGCTCCCCAGCTCTGCACACAGCCTCCCTTGGTCCTCAAGTGGATGTCATGTTATAATAGACATAATCTGCTGTGCCCTATCCTATGACCCTCACCCCAAGAAACTATGTACAAAGATGGGGAGAGAACAGATGAAGGAACATAGGGAAAATTTAAGAAATTACTATAAGAAGAACAAATTCAGAAGACTATCGACAGGAATTTTAGAGAGATGGTAAGTAATCTGAAGAGACAGAACTTGGAGAGGAGACATTTAAGCAATTGTCTGTGGTACTAAGTGGGCCAATAGATTAAGAGAAGAATGATGTAGGCAGTGACCTGTGCCTTAGCTGATATTTGATTCGAATAATCTAGTTTGATGTAATGAAGTGTGAAGTAGAAGACATGAGAAAAAGTAAAGTATAGATATAGCTTGGGTTATTTTTCATTTATTTACATTGCCTTTTTACCTGGCTAAACAGGTGCTTATTCCAATTTTTCTGTCTATTTATGCAGATTAGCCCATTTATTTCTGGGAGAATTTAATGTCATTTGGAAGTTGATATTGAATTATCATCTTAGTCAGAAGGAAGAGGTCTTCAGACCACATTATCACTAGTACCAGATTAAAAGAGTGTTCTAGGACTCCTTTGGAACTAAGGTAACCATATACCTTGGTTTGCATGTTGTCCCAGCATACATATTGATAATGTCTCTTTTTATTCTTAAAAGTGATCCAGAAGGGACATTACATTGATATCACCCTTTTCCAAGCCTTCTTAAAATTCTAGCTCCTTGGTGTATCTGAAAGCATTTTAAAAAATAAAAACCTCCAAGATAAACATTAAGGAATACTCATCTGTTCTTAGAGGGAAAATTTTTCTCTTGAAAAAAGAAACTCTGAAGTAAAATGTTGCTTAATTTGACAAGTAAAAGGAAAATATTCTAAATATCAAAAATACATAATCCACTTTGGGAAAAAACAAGTGACAATCTAGAAACATATCTGTAGCATATATTAGATATAAAATGAGGAGCCAATTTAAGCAAAAGAGAGAATCAGATTTTAATACTGAGACAATCAGATTCCTTTCTCATCAATTTCATGGCTTTAGTTACCAACTCTACACTGCTTTTCTTACAAGTAGGAAACTTCAGTAATTTTAGTACTTATGAGACCAGTATTATTTTAATACAGAAAACCAAGAGAAAGTAATATGGATATTAATTGTCCTGGGATAGTTCTTCCCTCAACCCCCATCTTCAGAGCCTTTGTGACCTACTAATAGTTGTCCTATTTTTTAAGATACAAAAGAGCATTGGGATTTTCTTCTTGGCTGTTGTGAACCACTTTAATTTTGTTCTTTTATTATTTTGTGTCATGATTTACATTAAAAATGTGGAAGCTAAATTATATATTTTTTCATTCTAAAGCTACATATATACATCCTTTGAAGGTAATGGTTAAGAATAAGTAAGTGTAAAATCCTTATGGAAATCTCCAATTATTTTAGAAAGCCTGTGTGTGTGTGTATGCAAGGACTTTAATATTCTCTTGTTTCATTTTTTTTAAATACTATATTAAATTATAAACCAACTCTACATTGTTTGATAGCTGAAAAAAATATTTGACATATTGGTGAGTGGCTTAGTTTTGCTCAGATGTACTCTTTCAGGTTTTAAATATCAGTGACCTAATTGGTTATATAACTGCCATAACCACAGAATTAATTTTTGTTGTTGTTTTTTTAAATCAAATTGTTTAGGTATTATCTTTTATGATAGATGTTTTCCTTTCCATTGAAGACATCACTATAGTTAATTTTCTTATTTTACCTCAATAGTGCAAACACAATTAACCTTGTGTTTTCTTCTTCTCCAGCATATGGTAGTGATGGAAGATATGCTCAAAGACTTTCTTCTTGGAGAACATCTGTTATTGGTTGGTAACCAGGTGAGTTATGGTTATGCTGAAACTCAAAGTACTAACGAATAAGTGATAGTAACAGTATAAAAGAAGTAAGCTTCTTGTTTTTGTTGGAATAAATTTTTAGAAATTATTCTTTTATTTTTCTTACCTAAATGACTAGTTTAATTAAATGATGAAGGTCTTTTACCTTCTAAACTTTAGTCATCTCATGGTTTAAATCTACCCCATCTAATCACCCACCAAGTCCTCTCTGTAGTACCTCATAAATATCTACTAGCCCATCTCACCATCACCTAGCACCTGGATTATAGCAATAGTTTCCTAATATAGTTCCACCCAAACCTTAGTCCCACTTTGATCTACTCTCTACTCTACAGCCAGATTGATACTTGTAAAACTAAAATATGATTTAGTCTCTCTTTTTTGTTTAAATTGGCTCTGCACTGCCCTACAATATACTCTTCAGAATGGCTTTCAGTATGCCTCTCCTTTCCTCTCGGTAAAAAAATCAATAAAATGTTTGTTTTTTTTTAAAGAGAGAAATTGACTAATCTTTTTATTTTGTAAATTTGTAACAGTTTAATGAAGAAAACAAGCCAATTAGATAGAATCTGGGAGATGTCCACTTAATAGTTAATAGTGGCCCATTCAACTGGACATGGTAATATACTGAGAGGATCAGAGACAGGCAGCATTATCACTAGAAAAGAAAAATGCAATACTAATTATTTTTAAATTTCTAGTAATAATCAAGTGCTAATTAGTATTTAGCTAGGTAAGAGAGGTCTAACTTTGTGCATGCTTACATATACCAAGTCATGGAGTGAAAATTGGGCCAAAGTGGCTGGTTAAAACTTAATAGAATTTTTTGAGTACTTTAGCCAATTTCAGTTCCTTTCAAACTTGTTTTTAAAGATCTCAGAAAGATTATAGACTCTTCTTCCCCAGCTTTATTGAAGTATAATTGACAAAATTACAATATTTTTAAAGTGTACAATGTGGCAATATGGTATATGTATACATTATTAATAATTGCTACTTCCATTAACTACTTCCATTTGGTATGTATCGGGGAGGATGGAGCTACCCTGTAGTATTTGTTGGCAAATTCACAGTAAGTATCTCACAGAGATGTGCTTTGCTAAGGATTGGTATGGAGTTATGTGTTCTCTTTTCCTGCTTTTTTCCTTCCACATTTCTTTTTCTGGAACATGTACTTTTGCAGTCATAGCAACTCAGGTCCTTCATCAACAACTTTGAAAAAAATTATCTTCTTCTTTTATCAGTGGTATTTCAGTACCTCTCACATTTTATGGACCTTTTGACCTTCACTCTTATTTCCATCTTGTGAAAAAAAACAAACAGAAAAGGCGAGTGAAGGTACAGTTGATAGGTAAGTTGAGGGCTGCTGACTCTCAACTCTCATGGGGTAGTGTCACTGGTGTTTTCACTGAAATACAAAGTGACGGTTGTCTGGGGAAATGCCTCTTTTAATCATATGATTTATTTTGAATATAAGTAAACAGTTTGAACCATTTGATCTGGTTCCTTTCTTTTCTTTGTCTTTCTAAAACATTATATGATGATTACACAAAAAACACACACACATCTCAATTAGAAGTGAAGCTTTGGGAATTAAATTTTAACAGAAGCCAACAGTGGGTTAGTATATTTATACAATAATGTGTTAATGAGTATTCTCTTAATACAAATGTATAGATAGATACAGTCTACCCAGCCTTCTGTCTGCAAAGTAGAAACTGGCTGAAGACCATGAACGAAACTTTTCAACAGTTGAAGCTGTAAATTTAAAGTTGTTTTGAAAGATTGCTCTTTATCAGAGGAAACTATAATGAGGAAATTAAAAAGACTAAGAAAATGTGTTGATTTTGAGAAAGCTCAAGGTTTATCATCTTTATTAAGCCTAATTCACCTTTTCTTTCCATGTAATTCTCCTGTCTATCAAGATTAGACAGGATTTTATAACTATTCTATTGGGAAGCTAAAAATTCCATAAACATCTGTTGTGGCAAAATAAAGTGGCCCTCATCTTCTTTTGGTGAAATAAAATTGATTTGGGGGCAGTTTTTAACTTTATTCAATAATCAGAAATCAGTTTCATCCACATTGTTTATAGATTTTTTAAAGTGGTGACAGGTATGTAGGTTACTAATTTATAAAGTTTGTATGATGAGTCTTCATCCTCATACAATTTCTGGACCAACATATCCAAATATGATATGGGACATTCCTTACTCCTTTGGCTCAGATAGCCCTGGTGAGCCATGCCAATACCTGTCAGTATGTACATACAGAGTTCTCCTCTCCTTCATGGCAAATTTCCAAGTCTCTGTGAGTGCCCAACAGGCATGCTTCTTAAAGCCCACTTCATGATGCACTTGTGAATGTTGATTGTGTATTCTGTGCTCACTACCTCCTTGATGGCAGAACAGCCCCTCCTTCTTGCCTCCCTTCTTGGCGGAAGCAATTATGCTGGGCCCAAGTTGGAATGAAAGCAAAATTGATTTTTTTTTTCTCCTTCTAATTTTCTTTGTGGGATTCTAGGGCACAGTATGTCTTCTTTCCAATAAGTGAGGCAGAATTGCTGCCTGTCAGCCAAAGCGATATAGTGCCTGGAAAATTGCACGTTTGATGGTTCCTTGGCATATAATGCCAGATATTGTAGAACCACTTTGTATGCTGTTACATGCGGTATCTTCTACTTACTGTACCTTTCATGGCATGTATTGATACCTTTCATGCAATTAGAAGTTTCATACTGGCTTTAAAAAAAAATCATAGCATGACTTTCTATTTATTTCAACTTTACTGGAGGGTAAAAGGAGAAATGCCTGTTCATTTCCCAACAATGGTACTTCTATCCCAACTCTATTCAAGATTAATCTTCCTTCCTTCCACATCTTTTCTTTTGATTTGTAGAGCTATATTCTATTTTATATACAAAACTAGAGGCCTGGTGCATGGATTCATGCACATTGAAAGGAAATTAATTAGAAGGTGGCCGGCAGGGTGGGACTAGGCGAGACAAACTGGACACGCCCTAGAGACACCTTCCTCGGTCCCTCCCCAGCCTGCCGCACCTGGGGCAGCGCTGTGGCTTGAAGGACATCTGCAGAGTGAGTGGGGTCCCTTGGCAGGTGGGGTCCCTTTGCCTGGCCTGGAGGATTGGCCAAAACCGGCAGTCTGACATCCCCCTAGGGGTCCGAGCGTGTGAGAGGGCACTCTGCAAAGTTACTGTAGCTCAGCCACTCCTGCGTTGAGCGTCTGCCCTCTGGTGGTCAGTGCGCATCATACCTACTGGCTAGTTAGCTAGTTTGCGGATCGGCCAATCACTTAAGCCTTTTATATATATTAATACTTATTGTGAATATTTTGGGTTATACAATCAGCCTATAGCATCATTTTTGTTGTTGTTTAAAAACTTTGTAAGAAAAACTTGTTTTTGTGTAGAAACTTGAGCTTTGAGAGGCAGTTTAAAATAAAAAATATTTTATCAGATATTTGAAGGAAAAATATTTTAACAATGTAGTGTTCTAAAACACTCAGGTATCCCTTACATAAGAATTATTTTTAAAATATACAGTATTTTGTTTTAAGAAATGAAAATTTAATCATCTACAGATAGTGATTTTTTTTCTTGTATCTTTTTTTCTTTATTAAGATATTACATATGTGTCCTTATCCCCCATTCTGCCCCATCCCCCACTCATGCTCTCACCCCCCTGTTGTCTGTGTCCATTGGTTAGGCTTATCTGCATGCACACGAGTCTTTTGGTTGATCTCTCCTCCTTACCTCCACCCTCCCCTACCTTCCCTCTGAGATTTGATAGTCAGATCAATGTTTCTCTGTCTCTGGGTCTGTTTTTGTTCATCAGTTTATGTTGTTCATTATATTCCACAAATGAGTGATATTTATCTTTCTCTGACTAGCTTACTAGTATTTTTCTTAGCATAATGCTCTCCAATTCCATCTATGCTGTTGCAAGTGTTAAGAGTTCCTTCTTTTTACCACAGCATAGTATTCCATTGTGTAAATGTACCATAGGTTTTTAATCCACTCCTTTGCCAATGGCACTTAGGCTGTTTCCAAATCTTAGCTATGGTAAATTGTGCTGCTATAATCATAGGGGTGCATATATCCTTTCTGATTGGTGTTTCTGATTTCTTGGGCTATATTCCTAGAAGTGGGATCACTGGTTCAAATGGGAGTTCCATTTTTAGTTTTTTGAGGAAACTCCATACTGTTCTCCACAGGTTTTCTTATTTCTGATGTTAGGCAAAATTGCAAAACAAGTCATCAAAATGCAATTTATAATTAATTAGGCATAGTTAACAATTCACAATCACTTCTACATTGAATATAGTCCAATTATTTATCAGGTATATCAACTTCTTAAACATTTTTAAGCCAACCTTTTTATAATTTTACCAAATAATACCAATCGGTGACATTTTTATATGAAAGCTTTTGTTGTAATTCACAGACCACAGAGTTTGCCCTTACCAGAATTCTAAAATATTATGCCTTTCTTATCAGGTAAAAAGTTAGCTCTGGCTGATTCTCATACAGGATGCCCCCTCTCTCTTTGACTATCATGTGCTTCATGTTTCACAGTACTGATACTTTAGAGATTCTTTTCAATTCATGGTAATTTCTGATCGGTAATGAGATAAATCTTAGGAAGCATCTCTTAATTTTATTTTCCTGGTAAAAGTTGAAAGTGGTCCTTTCTTTCCTATCAGATTTTTGAAGGAAAATTCTGAGTGTCACTGTTTTTTAGGGAGACACTCAGAATGACCTATGACATGGCTCCAAACTACTTTTATAATTCTAGTTCTTCCAAATTCGAGTTTCTTTTCCTCCCTAGATATACCGTGCCCTTTTACTCCCCAGCCATTTTTCATCATTTTTGCTTCATACAGTGCTCCTTCTCCTTCATATAGTGCTCCTTCTTTGCCTATAAAATCCTGCCCATTTTCAAGAGCTCACATGATTTTTTCTC